CCCCACCCACCCCGGTGGCTGACATCCCCCGCCCCTGGTGAACAGGTACCTCCGAGTGAGGACCCGGACTCCCAGGTCCCAGCATGAGCCTGAAACTGGAGGTCCTGCTGTCCACCAGCATCAAACACAAGAAACCATGGCCTCGGCTTGACTGGATCGGAGAGGTAAGCACTGTGGGAAACTCAGGCCATGGGCACTACAATGTCACTGCTCAGGTCAGTCCCTCACTCTCACAACAGTTATTCACTTAGAAACCAAGGAGCAGGCCCTTCGTACTTCCTGCATCATTCAATACAATCATGGCTGATCCATGATCTCAATGTCAGATCCCTACTCTCTTCCTGTAACACTTAATGTCTTTAAATTCTAAACATTTATCTATCTCTTTCTTGAATATTCCTCAGTATCAGCTCCCACTGTTTTAGTTACTAGTATCTTGTGGACACCGTAATCGTACAGAACATAACCATGGGATGCAGGACACATGGTGTAAAATGGCTAATTATACTACTGTTTGCTCATCATATTAAAAATAATGAACTTAGAGGAGGAACTGTGATACACTAAACTTTTAAACTTCAAGAACAGTTTAGGAATTGAAAGATTAGCAATAACTCTTGCTGGAATAAATTGTTTTCTAAGATGAAAGAGACAGGAAGAAACTGTTACATAGGAAAGAAAAGCAATATGTTAATTAACCATCCCTGGGAAGAAGGAGTCGAAGCAACATAAGCTGTTTCCTGGGAGAGAGGAGGTAACACTGCTTGGTAACCTGCTGCCCTATGACAAATGGGCAGTTTGCTGAAGGAATGTCCTGGGTAAAGGCGTTATTTGCAGGGAAGTTGTGTTTTGAACAGACAGTTAATGCCGAATATAACAAAGAACAGAAAGCTACTCCTAATAAAAAAAAAGCAAGCTACAGACTTGATGACTCCAGACGTGTAATCAATGTTGTGGATGAACGGATGAAAAGAATCTTAAATAATGTGACATCAGAAACTTCACAAGGCAGAAAATCCTATAAGAATTCACCTTCAAGATTCTTCAGTAGCAGAACCCCAGAGAATAAAATGGCACATAGATCGATCCCTAGAGATCCAGAGACAGATGTTGTAGTTTGGAATTATAGCTAAATTCCACCACTAATCTGGTAATACTCAGTTTCATTCTGAGGCTTAATCTGCTTATTTGAGAGGTCTTATCTCATTGCTACATGCAATAAAATTTAAGTAATTGTTTCCATATTTGTGAGATTTCTTAATAAGTAGGTCGCTTGGGAAAATTTACACACCACAGAACAGAGTATAAAAGTAGGGAACTGTTGTGGTTGTTTGGCTTGCCGAGCTGGTTCATTGTTCCGCAGACATTTCACAGCCCTGCTGGGTAACATCATCAGTGCAGCCTCCGATGGAGCGCCATTGTGTTTTCCCGCCTGGCTTTTAAACTCTGGAGTCCATTGAGCTGGATTACCCCACTTCCGGTTTTCCTTCGCAGTGGAGTGTATATGGGGTTGAGTTCTATATGTTTGTTGATGGCTTTCTTCGTGGAGTACCAGGCTTCTAGGAATTCCCGTGCCTGTCTCTGCTTTGCTTGTCCCGCACACTCATCACGCTACCTTACATCAGGAATACGTCGGAACTAACCACAAGACTGCTACGACCGCTGGGCATCAGAGTGGCACACAAGCCCACATCAACTCTACGACAACTGCTCACCCGAACCAAAGGCCCACTTCCCACTATGGACAGGACCAATGTCATCTATAAGATTCCCTGCAGAGACTGTGACAAACACTACATCGGACAAACAGGAAGGAAATTAACAAGAGTACACGAACACCAATTGGCTACAAAAAGACATGACCAGTACTCACTCATCTCTATCCACATGGATAAAGAGAACCACCAATTCGACTGGGACAAGCAAAGCAGAGACAGGCACGGGATTTCCTAGAAGCCTGATACTCCACAAAGAAAGCCATCAACAAACACATAGAACTCAACCCCATATACACTCCACTGCGAAGGAAAACCGGATGTGAGGTAATCCAGCTCAACGGATTCCAGAGTTTAAAAGCCAGGCAGGAAAACACAACAGCACTTCATCGGAGGCTGCACTGATGATGTTACCCAGCAGGGTAATAAAATGTCTGCGGAACAACGAACTAGCTTGGTGAGCCAACCAACCTCAATATCTACAATCCAAGCTACATATCTACTCCAAAACCTTAAAGTAGGGAACTGTTGCTACCACTGTACCAGGTATGAGTAAGACTGCATCTGGAGTATTGCGTACATTTTTGGTTCCCTTTCTTGAGGAAGGATGTAATTGTATTGGAGCCAGTTCAGAGGAGGTTCACTAAATTGTCTCTAGAAATGAGGGATTTGTCTTATGAAGAGAGATTGAGCAGTTTAGATTTGTGCTCTCTGGAGTTTAGAAGAATGAGAGCAAATCTAATAGCTAAAAGGGATTGACAAAATGGATATAGAGAGGATGTTGAGAGATGTAGAGAAGAAATCTAGAACAAAAGGTTGTAGTTTTAGAATAAGGTGTGGCAGATCTAGAACAGATGAGGAGAAATTATTTCTCTCAAAGGGTTGAGAGTCTCTGGAATTCACGCGCCCAGAGTGCGGTGGACTCCAGGATACTGAATAAACTTAAGAAAGCGATGGACAGATTTGTAATTAGTAATGATTGAAGGGTGCTAGAGAGTGAGCAGGAAAGTGGAGTTGGCTGAGATGAGGTCAGCAATAATCATATTAAATGGCAGAGCAGGCTCAAGGGGCTGAATTGCCTACTCCTGCTCCTAGTTCCTGTGTTTCTCTAATGCTTCACTACTCTTCTGCTCACTGCCTCTCAACCTCTTTATCTTTGCCATTGATGCTTGGTTTCCTTCCCTCCCCCACCCCTGCTGCTGAATCTTGCTGTGCTTTCTGCCCCTCTCTTTTAGACAATCTGGTTATCTCTGTCGCTCTCGCTCTCTCTCTCTGTGACAGGAGTGTGATTCTCTGCATGATGGGTCCCTCACTATTGCATTAACCTCAGATGTTGTTTCTCTTTAGGAGAAAGAGGCTATTCTGCTGTCTGCCGACCAGCGCCTGACCATACTAACCTTAACAACAGGGAGGACCCACAGGAGGATACCGAAACTGCAACATTTGCTGAAGAACGTGCTGAGTGTTACCACCTCTGCTAATGGTATTTCGGAGAGAGCTATAAGCCAGGGTCATGCAGTATTTGTCCCCTGACATTGCACAGTCCAGCTCATGGAGTATGATAAGCCATTGACGCACTGGGATTATGTTCCCCTTTTAACTCAGTCCTAACTAACTCTCAATTCCCTGTGAGCAGGGATTGTGTTCCCTTTTAACTCAATCCTGTCTCTCTCGCTCTTGCTGTCTCTCCTGTTCGCTGTCTCAGTTCCCTGTGAGCAGAAATTGTGTTCCCTTTTAATTTGGTCTTGTCTCGACTCCTTGTGCACTGGGATTCCATTTCGCCTGTAACTGACTCCTGTCTCTAAGGTTTTCTCTTGTAACTGGGCCCAGTTTTGTAGCCTTGTTTTTGACGATTGCACCTTTCTAGTTCCCCATATCAATACCAGCGGAGCTCTTCACAGAGAGACTAACTAGATGTGCTAGGTTCCAGCCCCATTGCTGACTTTCAATTCACAAGGAGGCATTAGCCTAGTGGTATAATTACTCAACTATTAATGCAGGTAATGTTTGAATCCCACCATAGGAACTGGTGAAGTTTATTCAAGATTTTCAAAATTCACATTATTATTGAACATGTCTGGTTCAGTAGTAACCTTTAGGGAAGGAAATCTGCCATCCTCCTACTGTGTCTTCACACACACGGCAATGTGGGTGACTCAACATCTCTGTGGGCAATTAGGTTTGGAGAGTATTTGATGGCCAAGCCACATCCTATTAACGAATTTTTAAAAAATACATCTACGCTGACTCTCAAAGTAATTTTGCTGGCATTCCAGGGCTGTACAGGATGGGTTGGTGGGGGTGGGGGTGGGGGAGTGAGTGGGGAGGTGCAGACCCTCCGGTGGCTGTACCAAAAAGGGCAAGATGTTAGGTGCTTAAAAAAATACATGGCACCATATTGTACAATTGTAGGGCAGATATCATTGGTGTCCTAGCCAATAGTTATTCCTCAGGATCACAAAGTAAGATTACATTTGGTTTGTTGGAAATTGCTATGCACGTACTGGCCATGGTTTTTGCTACATTACAACACTGACCATCTTTCCGAATTAGTTCGTTGGCTGTAAATTGTTTTGTGATGTCTGGTGGTTGTGTTCTATAAGTTGAATGCTTGTATGTAATTGCCTGCTATTTTCACCACGCGAATTTGTGACTGTAAGTTAGAAATACCGTTGTGAAGGGCATTGAGACTGTTGAAGATTTGGTAAACACAAACTCCTGTTCTCACTGTTCTATCTCTCTCTGTTTTTCCCTATACACCCTGCATGGTTTTCCATATTCGCAATCTGAGCTTGTCTCTCTCTGAATCCTGTCACTGGTTTGAGATGCGAGTGGGCAGATTGTGCTTCTGTTTTATGTGGTGTGTTTGTGTGTACGTGGGTGTGTGTATGTCAGTGCCTGTTTGAATTGGGTTGTGTCAGTGCTCTCACTGCTCTGTTCTCTCTGCCTGTCTTTGTGCAGGTGCCTGGCTGCTGGGACTGCTGAGTTCGGGAGAGCTGTTCCTGTGGAAGAAAGATGCTGACTGTTTGAAGACTGTTGCGACAGTTGCCAGTGTGAGCACAGTAGCAGCAGCTGCCCGTGGTACAAAGCTTGTATTGTTTTTGCCAAGGATTTGAGGGATTGCTGGAAAGGGTAGGCTGAGTGGGGCAAAGCCAGTGCCTCCATAACCAGGTTAATGTGGTTCATTCTTAACTGCTCTCTGGGCAATTGGGAACAAGCAATAAATGCCGGGCAAGCCAGTCACACCCATATCCCATGATCAAATATTTTAAAAAGTTTGGATTGCACTGGTGCCCGTTCAGCTGTTCTGTGTTTGTGTGTGTAACACCCGGATGTGCCAAGCCTGAGTGCGAGCTAGTCATCACTCTCCTGTCAGTGACTCAGTGAAGAGCAGCAGCTCAGGCTGGTGTGTCACTGACCACAGTGATAATATCCCAAGTGGAGATTTCACTCCATCAGAAATGCAACTTCCTCATGCTTCCAGACATGTCCCTCCTGTCCACAGTGTGTGAGAGTTTTCTCTCGAGCCTGAGAATATTGTTGTCAATGCACAAAAACAAAGCTGCTGGAAAATCTCAGCAGGTCTGGCAGCATCTGTGAAGGCAAAAACAGAGTTAACGTTTTGGGTCTGGTGACCCTTCCTCAGAACTGGGCACTAGCACTGACGTACGAAGAGAGACTGGCTCAATTAGGACAATATTCGCGATAGTTTTCATGAAAGAGTTAGATATACTTCTTAGGGCTAAAGGGATCATAGGGCATGGGAAGAAAATGGCAACAGGGGACTGAATTGGATGAGCAGCCATGATTATGCTGAATGGTGGAGCAGGCTTGAAGGGCTGAATGGCCTACGTCTGCTCTTGTGACTGGCCTTTTCCTTGAGCTACTGCATGGATGGAAGTGAACAGGTCAGTAACATGATGTAATAATCAGCTTGTAAAAGGGACCGTTCACCAATCTGACCTTGGTCATTGGATAATATGGCTTCTTGACTCACACAGTTGAACTCATGGCTGCCTCATCAAATCTTACAGCGGTAAACTGACATGAAGTTGCTTTTGCTTTCTTCCTTGTGTCTCTGTTTGTCCACTCAATCTCTCAGAATCTGCTTCGAAGCCATTTCTGTTTGTTTCGAGGGATGGCAAGAGAGTCCTTGTGGCCAGTCAGGCTGGTGAAGTGTTCCTTTGGGAAAGTACGGAAGAGCGAGACTTGTCATCTATTCCGGATACTCAGTTAAGTGGCAGGTGGGCCCAGGTGATGGTGGATGAGAAAGTCAAACTTCCCCAAGCCGATGATAAGGAGAGCACAGTACATGCTGTCTTTCACACTGATGAGGTGAGTTAATTGCCATAGCAAACAGTGCAAAAGGCAAGCATGAGGGTTCATTGGAACAGAGAAAATAGGGCAGGAGTAGGCCATTCAGCCCATTGGGTCTGCTCCATCATCCAGGAGTGTTATAGAAATCAGCCTGTCATGTCCTTGCCAACCAATTCCATTTTCCAACACTTGGCCCATAACCTTGCACGTCTTGGTATCTCAAGTGTACATCTAAATACGTCTTCGATGTTGTGAGGATTTCTGCCTCTCCCTTCGGTAAAGGATTCTGGAACTTTCTGCCCATCATGCTCTGGGTGAAAATGTTTTTCCTCACATCTCCTCTAATCCTCTGGCCCCTGACCTTAAATCGATGACCCCCACCCCTAGTCATTGATCCCTCCATCAAGGAGAAGTTTCTTCCTGTCTACCCTATCTCTGCCCCTCATCATTTTCTATATCTCAACGTGTCTCCTGTCAATCTCCACTGCCCCAAGGTTTAAAAGCCCAGTCTATCCAAACCCTCTTCAAAATATAACTGTCCTCCTCGAGCACCTTCCTGGTCAATCTCCTCTGCACCCCTCTCCAGCTATCAAATCCCTCCCATCATGTGGATTCCAGAACTGAAACAATATTCTGGCTGTGGTCTAACCAACATGTTATACAGTTCCAGCTCTTCAATTCTGTGACTCAGCTAATAAAGACGGGTATCCCATATACAGCCTTAACCACTTTATCCTGATACCTTAAGGGACCGGTGTACATGCACACCTTGGTGCTTCCCAGGGTCCTACTGTTCATCATGTTTCCCTTGCCTTGGTTGTCCTGCCCAAGTGCATCACCTCTCACGGATCCAAATTGAATTCCACTGCCACTGATCAGTCCACTTGACCAGCCTGTTATATTCTCCTGAATCTAAGGCTATCCTCCTCATTATTTACCATCCTGCCAATTTTTGTGCCATCCGCAAACTTATTGGTCAACTCTCTGACATTCAAATCTAAATCAGTTGTATATATACCACAAACAGCAAGGGTTCCAGCACTGACACCTGTGGGACCACATGGACACAGGCTCCCAGTCATAAAAGCACCCCATAATCATCACCCTCTGCTTCCCGCAGCTCAGCCAATTCTGGATTCAGTTTGCCAAATTTCCTTGCATTGCCGTGGGCTCTTGCCTTCACTGGCAGTCTTCCACGCGGGACCTTATCAAAAGCCTTGCTGAAGTCCAAATCGACCACATCAAAGCATTGTGCTCATCTACACATCTTGTCACCTCTTTGAAAAATGCAATCAAGTTAGTCAGACATGGCCTCCCCTTAATAAACAATGCTGACTGTTCTTGTTAATCCCTGCCTCTCCAAGTGCAGCTTAATTCTGTTCCTTAGAATTGCCTCCAATAGCTTCCCTACCACTGAGATTAGACTGACTAGCCTGTAGTTTCCCGGGTTATCTCTAGTTCCCTTCTTGCATAATGGTACCTGCTGCCCCGGCATCTCTCCTGCGGCCAGAGAGGAATTGAAAATTATTGCCAGTGCCCCTGCTATTTCCTCCCTTCCCTTACTCAACAGCCTGGGATACATTTCATTTGACCCTGGAAACTTATCTACTTTTAAACTTGCCAGACCATTCAGAATCTCCCTTCTGTCATTGCTATTTTCTTTAAGTATATCACAGTCCTTCTCCCGGATTTTTCTGGCCCTGATGGCAGTAGCGAACACTGATACAAAAGTATTTGTGCAGAACCATATCTATGTCATAGAATCATACAGCACAGAGGAGGCTCTTTGGGCTATCTAATCTGTACTGCCAATGTTGGTCTATCTCTACACTCGTCCCACTTTACAGCACTGGGCCCATAACTTTGAATGTTATTACTCTAGTATATTGGCCCTGGCTTTAATTTATTTCAGTTACTCCCTTCTTCCAAATTAAAATATTCTTAAAAATCACGAACCAACTAAAACACCACTTTCCTGAGCTGTCCTTGTTTTGCTTTCTCAATCAGCAGACCCCTGAAGCTGCAGCAGGTAAACTAGGACTCCCTTTTCTCTGACTAGTTGAAGCTGAAGAATATCAAACGATAAACCACAAAAAACCTTACAAATTATGCACCAAAAAACAAACAAAAAAGTCTCTAATCATCTGTGCCAAATTCCCATCGTGCTTCAAGTTCCCCAAAACACACTAACTCTGGTTGTGTCTTGCTGGGTCGGTGCCTCACTCTTGCTGTAACCTCTCTGTTCCAACTGCTTGTGTGAAGCTTATTGAAATGAATGACCTCCCTGTGTTTGTATTTTCTGAATGAGCAGCTACTTCTCTCAGAGATCCTGATGTTTGGAGGAATATTTATGGTTTGTGTCACACCTCATTTTGTAAGTGCAGGCTGACTGCACTCTGACACTGGGCGATGATAGTGCATTGATCAATTGCTGCTTCTGTTTGTACATAGGAGCTGGGGGATTGCTGCTTCTGTTCCTTTGTCTTTACATGTGGAGAGGTCCTGGTGCTGACCACACTGAGAATGAAGTGGTTTGAACAAGTGGAGAAGTGCACAAGGTGAGAGATTTCGTAATGTTCGCAGCCCCGTAAGAAGTATATGTGGATGTGCATGTGTCTGTATGTATGAGTGAATCTTTATATGGATATGTTATTGCACATGTTGGTGTGTTTTTCATTTGTCCGTGTTAATGTGTGCATGTGGTAACAGGTTTGGTGGATGTTACTGTGTATGCGCACGTCTCTCAATGGGTATGTAAGCTATTAGCCAGAGCATGCGCCCGCCTCTCCTTAGGCACCCGGAGCGTGTGCGCCTCCCCTTGGGCACCCGGAGCGTGCGCGCACGTGCGCCTCCCCTCAGGCACCCGGATCCCTTGTGTGTGAACATCTGGGAACCTAAAGTCCATGCACAAGTGCTCTGGATATGCTTTAGCCGGTATTTGGCAGGCATACACGTGGTATATTGTGTGTAGAGTGGAGTTGTGTGTGCTGTCCTGTTGCTGTGTGATGTACTTTTGACTCTGCTGGTCTCTGTTTCAGTGGTTGTTGATTAGCTTCACATTTGCCTCTTTCTTTGCAGTGCCATCCCATTCTGTGCCCATTGGGTGACACAGACACGCTCACTTGGAGCTCTGAGCCCAGTGTGCACTGGGGTGAAATCAAGAGGGGCACTGTTAGCAGCTTTCTCCGGGGACGGCCTGGTGCTTGCAGTCATCATCAATCAGAATGATCCCAAGGTTACTTCCTTATTCTTTCTCTGGCTGGTTCTGTAGCTTCTGATTATCACAATCTTTTCTTACTTAATGCTTTCTTACTTTGCCGCTCTGTCCCTCCCCCACCGCCTAGTACTTCATCTTGCCCCCACTTACCCATTCAGCCCCTCATCGAATCTGTCCTGATTTGCGGTTCCCCAGGCAGCTGCGGGCTGATCCTCCCCTCTCCACATCACCGTCTGACTGGGAAGGTGCTACAGCAGCTGCAGGCTGATCCTCCCCTCTCCACGTCACCGTCTGACTGGGAAGGTGCTACAGCAGCTGCCTTCACCACATTCACTCTCTTGGACATGGGCGCGTGGATGTGCAACTGCTCTTGAACAATACACAAACACACGTGTGTGTGCACACATAAGCATATCTGCAGCGGTTAAGCACCCCACCAGGAGACTGCTTCCTTCAACAGAGAACTTAAGTGGATCAGGAGAAAAAGTTTCTTCTGTAAACATTCCACCTCAGGTGGAGACATACCGGAAAATGGCCAGAAACGCAGGCCATGCAGTCAATGATGGGGTCAGAAGTCTAGGGGCTGGTCCTCAGTGTCTAACTATCCGTACACAGCTGCAAGCACTGATCTCCCTCTGTGTGTGCATGTGCTTGTTTGCCCTATGTTTGGGCACACACGTATGTGGCTGGGTGCAGCTTGTGTGAGTATGTGTTTGCACATCCATTCTGGCCTCTCTGTGCCTGCTCACCTCTGTACTTACCTCTCTGGTCTTACTGAGTGGCTGCTTACCCAGGGCCTGTTTTCTCTCTCATTTATTAGGCTACCCAGGTGCTGTTTGTGAACCCACTGAATGATGTGACAGTGTCGAGCAGCCTGCGAGGCTGTGGCAGCAAAGGGCAGCCTGTGCCAGTCAGGTTTCTCAGGTAGGTCAGCACATCACTCATTGGAACAGGGCCTGCTGGGCTCCTGGGCCGACTTCGGAACAGAGGCACTGTTTCAGTTTCAGCGCGTGGATGCCGTATTGTCTATTCATTGGTTTTTTTACTGTCATGACTGATGGCCGGTTTGGCATTGTCTTTATTCACACTCTGTAACTGGGGGCCACCAATTCTGCACCTCCCCAAATCCCTTACACCCACCTTAGCCCCTCACTCCCTCACCTAACCCCCCAACTCCCACAAACCAGGAGGTCACAGCTCCCCACCTCTGAATCTAGAATGTCATGTTCCATTCTCCAAACTGAGCAGTTGAGATGGTGTGAGCTGACCCAAGATTTCCTGCAATGTTGACAGTGAATTGTTTGCTCTTTGCTTCTCAGATCTTATTGGGTTGGTGCAGTGAGCTGGACACATGATGGCCTATTCCTGGCCTGTATGCTGAAACGTGGGGCCTTACTGTTACTGTCCCGTCTTGGCGAGCTGCTATCCATCACTACATTTGGCTGCTCCGTGGAGTTTGGGCCAGCAGAGTACATCCCACTCCATCCATTAATCACCTACAGGTAAAGCCTGCAGCTGCCCCTGGACCAACTCCCAATGAAATTTAGCCATTTCTTTGAGGGAGCTAGTAACACACAGCCTGCATCAACAATGCAGTGGGAACTCTACACCTGTCCGGTTTTAGCATGAAGCAGCACTGTCTTATCTCAATCACAATGTCAAGTGGAGAATACCCACATCAGGGGCATGAGCACAGACTGCATGCTGACATTTCCATTGCACTGCCGAGGGAGTGCGGCACTGTCAGAGGGTCAGTGCTGAGGGAGCTCTGCGCTGCTAGAGGGTCAGTGCTGAGGGAGCACAGCAATGTGGGAGGATCAGCGCTGAGGGGAGAGGGCACTGTCGGAGCGTCAGTGCTGAGGGAGCGCCGCACTGCCAGAGGGTCAGTGCTGAAGGAGCGCCGCGCTGCCGGAGGGTCAGTGCTGAGGGAGCGGGCACTGTCGGAGGGTCGTTACTGAGGGAGTGCTGCTGAGTACTCTCTGCTGTACTGCCCTGGGAGAATTTAATGGGGTCAGTATGGAGGCTATTTTACTCTGTCTAACCCCATGCTGTACCACTCATGCAAGTGTTTGATTGGGTAGACAGAGTGTTTAATTGCATGTTGCAATGTTTTTCAGACCACCTCAGTCCCTGCTTCTGAGCATCGAACGTACAGGATCTGATGGCACTCCTACCTCTGAAGATGACCCAATCAATCAATGGTTTTCTGTGGCAGCCCACCCTCGCTTACCCTACCTCATTGTGTCTGATGGTTACATGTTTACCCTGATGCGTTTTGCAGCGAATTATTCTGCATCGTCTGTTTTAAAGACCGTTCTTCTGGAGGTGACTCAAGATCTCAATGATGTGCGACACTCACTAATGAGCTCTGAGGTACGGAATTTGTGGTAACCTTAAATTATAAGATAACATACAGCAGTGTGTCCCCAAAGTATTGATACAGTTGATTTATAGTTGTCCTGAGATAGAGTAAAAAGTATTGTTTTGCATGCTAACCAGGCAAATCATATCTTACATAAGTACATCAGGGTAATAGAACAGAATGCAGAATATTGTGTTACAGCTACAGAGAAGGTGCAGAGAAAGATCAACTCTAATTTATTAGAGGTCCTCTCATAAGTCTGATAACAGCAAAGAAGCTGTTCGTAAATCAGTTGGTACGTGTTTTCAAACTTTTCTATCTTATGCCCAATGGAAGAGGGTGGGAGGGTGTATTACCAGGGTGGGAGAGATCTTTAGGCAGTGGGAAGTGCAGACGGAGTCAATGGAAAGAAGGCTGGTTTAAGTGATGGACTGGGCTGTGTTTACAATTCTCTGTAATTTCTTGCGGTCTTGGGCAGAGCAGTTGCCATACCATGCTGTGATGCATCTGGATAGAATGTTTTCTATGGTGCAGATATAAAAATTGGTAAGAGTTATTGTGGACATGCTGAACTTCTTTGGCCTTCTGAGGAAGTAGAGGTGTTGGTATGCTTTCTTGAGTGCAGCATTGACGTTGATGTACCAGAACAGATTGTTGGTGATCATCACTCCCAGGAACTTGAAGCTCTTGACCACCTCCACCTCAGCACCACTGATACAGACTGGGGTGTGCCCTCCGCTTGGCTTCCTGAAGTCAATGTCCAGCTCCTTTGTTTTGCTGACATTGAGATTGTTGTCTTTACACCATGCCACTAAACTCTCTATCTCTTCCTGTACTCTGTCTTGTTGTTCATAGAATCATCGAATCCCTACAGTGTGGAAACAGGCCATTCGGCCCAGCAAGTAGACATCACCCTTCCAAAGACCATCCCACCCAGACCCATCCCCCTATCCTTTCCCTGTAACTTTGCATTTCCCATGTCTAATCCACCTAACTTACACGCCTCTGGATGCTACGGGCAATTTAGCATGGCCAATCCACCTAGCCTGCACATCTTTGGACTGCGGGAGGAAACCGGAGCACCTAGGGGAAACCCACGCAGACACGGGGAGAATGTGCACACTCCACACAGACAGTTGCCTGAGAGTGGAATTGAACCCTGGTCCCTGGTGCTGTGAGACAGCAGTGCTAACCACTGAGCCGTAGATCTGATCTACGGTGGTATCATCAAATTTGTAAATGGAGTTAGACTGAATTTGATGATATTGTCACGAGTGTATGAGGAGCACAGTAAAGGGCTGAGTACGCAGACTTGCCTAGTACTGGTGTTGTGCATCATTGTGGAAGAGGTGTTATTTGCTTATCCTTACCCATTGTATTCTTTATTTTCTTATTAGTTTTACATTCTGTATTCATTCCTTGGGCTTGCGTGTCGCTGGCTGGTCAGCATTTATTGCACTCTATTGTGATTAATATTGTCATGTAGTTGCCCTGGAGAAGGTGTTGGTGAGGTGTCTTCTTGTATTGCTGTAGTCCACGTGCTGTAGGTAGGCCCACAATGCCCTTACAGAGAGAATTCTAGGGTTTTGACCCAGCAACAGTGATGTATTTCCAAGTCAGGATGGTGAATGCTTGGAGGGGAACTTGAAGATGACAGTATTCCCATTTGTCTACTGCCCTTATTCTCTGACAGGAAGCCACACATGAAGTAACCATTCCAAAATTCTATGATGGGATTTAGTGCTCTAAACGAGGTCTGTCCAATCCTCTCGAGGTAAAGTACACTATTCGCTCCACTGTTGTGATGATTTTGCATTCATGGATACTTGGATCTGTTTTCGGCTGCACCACCATTTGGAAAATGTCCGAGTTTTTGTTTCTCTGATCCAAGTGACAAAGAGCTCATGCTCTGAAGCCTTTATCTGTTCTTTATCCAGGTCCTTATTACATATGGTGAAAAAATGAGATCCAGTGTAGGTTCCTTGGATACATCAGTTGCCACAATCCACCTATCTTCGACCAGGTCTTTGTCTTGACTCTGTGTTTCCTTTCTCCCATGCTGAAGATTCACGTATTATAGAAAGTTCATTTAATTTCATGCACTTCGAGTTGTATTCTTGTCTAGAACTTTATCTGATGACTTTTGGAAAGTCATACTGAAACATCCTTAGGGACTCCCTATCTGGCATGCTAGTGAGCAGCTTGAGAAATGTCCAAACCAAAAACAGAAATTGCTGGGAAAGCTCAGCAGGTTTGGCAGCATCTGTGGAGAAAAATCAAAGTTAATGTTTCAAGTTGAGTGACCCTTCCCGATGGTAGCTAGGAAAATGTCGGCTTATATGCAGAAGATAGGGTGGGGGAAGGGGTTAAGGAGTAAACGATAGGTGCGGGTAGAGCCCAAAGAGAGAGAACAATAGTTGGACAGACAAAGGAGTAGATAACGATCTGGCTAGGAGGGTGAATAGCTATTAATCGGGACTGTTAGTGGCTGACAATGGGTGGTTGTAATATGTGTTAACAAGGCCTAATGTTTGGAGTTGGGATAAGGACATGGGAGAGCTCAAGCTCTAAAGTTATTGAGATAACAAGGTGTGCAGCTGGATGAACACAGCAGGCCAAGCAGCATCAGAGGAGCAGGAAGGCTGACGTTTCGGGTCTGGACCCTTCTTCAGAAAACCGAAGTTATTGAACTCAGTATTGAGTTCGGAGGGCTGCAGGATCCCCAAGTAGAAAATGAGGTGTTGTTCTTCCAGCTTGTGTTGAGCTTTGTTGGAGCACTGCAGCAAGCCTGAGACAGAGATGTTAGCCAGGGAACAGGGTGGTGTGTTGAAGTGGCAGGCAACTGGAAGCTCTGAGTCTTTATTGAGGACAAAACATAGATGTTCTGTGAAATGGTCACCCAGCCTCTGTTTTGTTTCCCTGAAGTGGAGGAGACCACAATCTAGACGATAGAACAGTACAGCACAGGCCCTTCGGCCCAAGATGTTGTGCCAAACTTTTACCCTAAACCTAAGGTCTATCTAACCTCCATCCTTATCTTATACTATCATCCATATGCCTATCTAATAGCCGCTTAAATGCCCCTAATGAGGCCGACTCCACTAACCTCTCCGGAAATGCATTCCACGCTCCTACCACTCTGAGTAAAGAACCGACCTCTGACGTCTCCCCTATATTTACCTCCACTCACGTTACAACTATGCCCCCTCGTAATAGCTACCTTCACCCTAGGAAAAAGTCTCTGGCTGTCCACTCTATCTATACCTCTGATCATTTTGTACACCTCTATCAAGTCACCTCTCATCCTTTGTTGTTCTAAAGAGCAAAGCCCTAGCGCACTCAACCTTTCCTCGTAAGACCTTCCCTCCATTCCAGGCAACATCCTGGTAAATCTCCTCTGCACTTTTTCCAACGCTTCCACATCTTTCCTGTAATGAGGCGACCAGAGCTGGACACAATACTCCAGATGTGGCCGAACCAGGGTTTTGTATAGCTGGAGCATAACTTCACAGCTCTTGAACTCGATCCCTCTATTAATGAAAGCTAACACACCATACGCCTTCTTAACATCTTTACCCACCTGGGTGGCAGCTTTCAGGGAACTGTGGACATGAACCCCAAGATCCCTCTGCTCCTCCACACTCCCAAGAATCTTTCTGTTAACCATGTATTCTGCTTTCAAGTTTGTCCTTCCAAAATGAATCATCTCACACTTTTCAGGGTTAAACTCCATCTGCCACTTCTCAGCCCAGCTCTGCATCCTATCAATGTCCCTTTGTAACCTAGAACAGCCCTCTGCACTATCCAATCTAGCAGTAGACTAGATTGCATGAGGTACAGGTAAAGCGCTGCTTCACTTGGAAGGTGTGTTTGGGCCCTAGGATACTGAGGAGGAAGTAAATGGGCAGACGTTACACCTTCTGCGTTTGTAGGATAAGGCTGTGGGGGGTGTTGGGAGTGAAGAAAGAGTAGACCAGGGTGTCCTGGAGGGAACAGTGCCTGCAGAAGGCCGACAAGGGAGGAGAGGGGAATATGTATTTGGGTGGTAGCATCTCTCTGGAGGTGGCGGAAATAGTGGCTTGCTTTATTCCCTTAATGACCCTTGCTTTATTCATTAGGAATAACCTGCCTGTGATTAATACATGCTTCCTCTCTGGTGCAATCTGTTTACAGCGTAAATATGTGAAGTACTGTTTACAGCCCGTGTCATCCCTAAAAGGAAGTTTCCTGCAGGAATGGGAAATGCAAGGGCCTGGATCGTGGATGTCCCCATCATTCTTGCAGGATGAGACAGCAGCAAGTGGTCAGGTACAGCTTTTGCTAATATACATTTAGTTTTCAGTGGCAAGTGTTTCACTGTGTGTTAACCCTGTTAAAATAACATTCCAGAGGTTGAATAGGTTTTAGTGCTTGCCTCCTGCTCCTTGAACCTTGGCATGAGTTCTGCAGAATTGTAGTTTACTCTTGCTTCATGAATGATGGTATATGAGAGTTCATGTGACTCTGGAGAGGGAATGGTGCATTGTCAACACCTCTTTCCTTGAATAAGAGGTGAGAGTGAGCCCTGATGTCATTCTCACATTGCTCCGCTGTTTACTGACAAACTTGGGCTGAATAGCCAACCACTACTCCTCTGTCTTATGGACTTAACCCCTTATTCTCAAGGTGTTAACTGATTCTAGGATAACCATTCTCTTGCAGCAAGCTGTGCACTTTCACACTTTGCTACATCTAGCTGAAATCTACTTGTTGATTGCTTTTCCACCTTTTAGCCAGTGAAACATTTGCTCATTGTCTGCCCAAACTATGTTTTCCTATCATGCCTTTTCTGTACCCTTCACACACAGAATACATCATCAAGGCTGAGATAGACAGAGCTTTCATCAGCGAGGTTTATGGAGAAAAGCGAGGAAATCAGGGTTGAGGATTATCAGATCAGCCGTGATCTCATTCAAAAGTAAGGCAGAGCCAATGGGCTGAATGGCCTACTTCTGCTCCTATGTCTTATGGTCTTAACAAATAGGATTGAAATATAGTTCATGGTAAGCAAATTGCACAGAAAAGCCTCTGAGCCTAGGTAAAGAGCTGCACTTGTCCTTCTCAAACAAAAACAGAAACTGCTGGAAAAGCTCAGCAGGTCTGGCAGCATCTATGGAGAGAAATCAGAGTTAATGTTTTGGTTCCCGTGACCGATCCTCAGAACTGAAACTTTCCTTCCACTGATCTGTGATATTCTGCATCTTCAGTGGGGTTGGACATGCAGAGTTGGGGATCACCTGGTTCCTGGCTGCATTTCCGAGCTCTTGATGTTTTATTACGCAGGAGGAGGGCTCTCCAGGCTTTACTGCGGGAAAGATTTAGTGTGGAGGCTTTTGAAAGAAGTGGGGCAAGACAGCTGAAGGCACCAGAACGACAGGCCTGCAGTACCTGCCAATGATACCACATCTCTTCTTGCGGGTCTGTATGATAATTTCAAAAGGCCACTTCCCAATTTGTCCATTGCTGGGCACTAGGGCCCAAGGCAGTGCTTCCCTTAAGCTCATCCCCATTTACATCATTGTTTCCTCCCACAATAAGCAGACAGCATTAAACAGTGGCACCCAGCATTCACCACCCCCAGTGGGCAGACAGCATTGAGTGGAGCACCTGATTCAGCTGAACAGAGTAGATAGGGTCAAGAAAGGCAAAGCCTTCTGAGAGATAAAAATCCTCATTTCTGCCTTAAATGTGTGATCTCTTATTCTGAGATGATACCCCCTGGTCCTAGACTGCCCTACAAGGGGCAACAATCTTTCTCCATGTACCCTGTCAAGCCCCCTTAGAGTCTTGTATATTTCAATAATGTCATTTCTGATTTTACAGTCCCCTCGTATCTACTGTCAGCCAACCTTTTCTGGACTGCCTCCAATGCCAGTATACCTTTCCTTTATATGGGGTCCAGAACTGCTCACAGTATTCCATCTGTGGTCTGATGAGTGCCTTGTATGGTTTAGCAAGAATATCCTATTTTTCAACTCTATTCCCTTTCAGGTAAAGACCAATATTCAGTATATCGTCCCTATTACCTGCTGAACTTGGATGTTAGCTATTTTTGATTCATACATCAGTACTCCCAAATCCCTCTGTTACGTAGCCTTCTGAAGTCTTTCAGTATTTAAATAATATTCACCTCCTCCACTCTTCCTGCCAAAATGCATAACATCACATTTCTCCACATTATATTCCATCTGTCAAGCAGTTGCCCACTTGCTTTATCTGTCTAGATCCCTCAGACCTGCAGACATTTTCCAGCACTTTGTTTTTGTTTCAGACCTCCAGCATCTGCAGTTCTTTGTTTTATTCACAAGATTAATGAGCTATTTTATATCAGTGTTAATTAGTTGTTTGGTCATACAGAATTTGAGTATTGCTGAAAACAAAGGGCACATTTGTTCGAAACCGTTCATCTTGTACTTACAAGAATACCAACCTGATAGAGGCGTTGCTGTGAAGAAAGCACTTACTAAGGCTGATTGGCAGAGGTGGTGGCATCGTAACGTCACTGGGTTAGTAATCCAGAGATCCAGGTAAATGCGCTGAGGACATGGATTCAAATTATATCATCGCTGCTGCCTCACAGTGCCAGGGACCCGGGTTCAGTCCCACCCTTGGGTGGCTGTCTGTGTGGAGTTTGCAAGTTCTCCCAGTGTCTGCATGGGTTTCCTTTGGGTGCTCCAGTTTCCTCCCACAATGCAAAGATTTTCAGGTTAGGTGGATTTGCTATACTAAATTGCCCGTAGTGTTCAGGGATGTACAGGCTAAGTGGGTTAGCCGTGGGCAATGCAGGGTTAGAGGATAGGGTAGGGGGTTTGGGTCTGGGTCTGGGTCTGGGTCTGGGTGGAATACACTTCAGAGGGTTGATGTGAACACAGTGGGCCGAATGGCTTGCTTTCACACTGTAGGGATTCTATGAAATGGCCTAACAGGCCACTTAGTTAAAGTCACAGAGGTCTACAGCTCAGAAAAAGGCCCTTTGGCCTGAAAAGTCTATGCCAGTCAAAATCAATTGTAGAATTGTCATGCAGGTAGTGGGTGAGAGAAAGGGTCAGGTCACCTGGAGGCGGGAGCTAGGGGAGACAGTCTAAAGCCCACTACAGAGCTGAGAGGAAGCACAATGAAGTATTCTCTGTTCAGGTTTACCCTCCATCTACCTTGTGTTCTATTTATGGTTCTAGTGAACCACAAACATCGTAACTGGTGACAAGCATGGGATCTGGCCCACAAACTGTGTGCAAACACTGTTTTTCTCATCAGGTGGAAGGATGTTGCCTGGACTTTGAAAACAGCACGGGATAATAGAGGTAATGTTGTGGGAAGCGGTTGCTAGGGGATGCGGCTGTAGTCGATGCCATGACAGAACATACTGGTCTGGGAGCAGCGGCTCATGAGGGGTCGTGGGCTGTAGCCATTGGCTAAAGCGGGGATTACTCACCCAGGAGGTTATCGAAGTCATCATGGAGAGCGGTGGTGGGGGCGCTTGAGCTGTAGGCAATGCCACAGAGGAATAGAACATAGACCATAGAACAGTACAGCACAGTACAGGCCCTTCAGCTCACGATGTTGTGCCAAACTTTTACTCTAAACCTAAGGTCTATCTAACCTCCACTCCTACCTTATACTATCATCCATATGCCTATCTAATAGCCGCTTAAATGCCCCTAATGAGGCCAACTCCACTACCCTTTCCGGCAATGCATTCCACGGCCCGACCACTCTCTGAGTAAAGAACCTACCTCTGACATCTCCTCTACATCTACCTCCACTCGCTTTAAAACTATGTCCCCTTGTGATAGCTACTTCCACCCTAGTAAAAAGTCTCTGGCTGTCAAATGATACGCTAGAACAGCTGGTGAGGGAGCAGCTGATGTGTGAGTATTCGCTGAGGGGCTTCAAGCTGCAAATGGGTACTAAATGCAAGTGACTGAAAAAATTCTCAACAGTGGGGGGACAACATGGCAGGCCAACTGAAGGGGCCATTGATGAAGAGGCAAAGTTAGATTCTGTACACTGAATGCTTTAATGCGTACTTAAAGATGAATAAAACGGCTGAAGACTGGTTTTCTTGAGTGCCATTGGGAGCAAGACTTTGGTGATTCTAAGGAGTCTGGTGCAACCAGAGAAGACATACCAAGAACTACGTGAAGTTTTTGGGAGTTATTTTGCACCAAAGCTACTGATGATAGTGGATTGTTTTCATTTTTATAAATGGTTACAGCACGAAGATAGTCATCTCCCATTTTGTGGCCGCTTTAAAGAGGTTAGCAGAACATTGCAAATTCAGAGGGTTCCTCCAAGATAAAAATGGTGTCCTTGTGCAGAAAGTGGGAATGTAAGTGCAGCATATAATAAGGAAGGCAAATGGAATCTTAGCATTTATTGCAAAAGGACTAGATTATAGAAGTAAAGAAGTGTTGTTACAATTATATAAGGTGTTGGTGAGACCACACCTGGAATATTGTGTCCAGTTTTGGTCTCCTTACTTGAGGAATAATGTGGTGGCACTGGAGGCAGTTCAGACAAGGTTCACCAGATTGATTCCAGGGATGAAAGGGCTGGCGTACGAGGAGCGGTTGAATAGCTTGGGCTTGTACTCACTGGAGATCAGGAGAATGAGGGGGAATATGATTGAGGGATATTAAAATGCCAAAGGGGATTGTTAAGGTGTACATTGAACAGATGTTCCCTCTTGTGGGCCAGTCTCGAACAAGAGGGCATAGATATAGTGTGAGAGGAGGTATGTTCAAAACTGAGATGAGGAGAAATTACTTCCTTCAGAGGGTTGTGGATCTGTGGAACTCACTGCCCCAGAGTGTTGTGGATGCAAAAATCAATCGCGATTCAAGAAAGAAATAGCTATGTTTCTGATGAAAAGTGGGATAAAGAAAGAACAAAGAAAATTACAGCACAGGAACAGGCCCTTTGGCCCTCCAAGCCTGCGCCGATCCAGTTCCTCTATCTAAACCTGTCACCTACTTTCCAAGGATCTGTATCTCTCTGCTCCCTGTCCATTCATGTATCTGTCTAGATACATCTTAAATGACGCTATCATGCCTGCCTCTACCACCTCCGCTGGCAACGCATTCCAGGCACCCACTACCCACTGCGTAAAGAACTTTCCACACATATCTCCCTTAAACTTTTCCCCTCTCACCTTGAAATCGTGACCCCTAGTAATTGAGTCCCCCACTCTGGGAAAAAGCTTCTTGCTATCCACCCTGTCTATACCTCTCGTGATTTTGTAGACCTCAATCAGGTCCCCCCTCAACCTC